TTGCATAAACGTTAATACAACTATTTTATACGGCATATTTGCACGTTAGCCAAAATGGTTGTCTTGTGGCATCCATGGTAACGTTTATAAAACAAACCCGAGCCTTGTTGTTTGGCTGTGCATATTACTACTTTAGTCAACAAGTTGCTCCCAACGGAAGCACTTATACAACTGTTCTTTAATAACTGTTAAAGGCTGTACATATGCTAAATATGTTGGTACACAACTTCACGATAACCTAACTTGCTGTCATATTTTTGTTAAAATGCCATAACCAATGATTTAAGAGAGACAACGCATGCATGTTGGTTCAAAAGGTTTTATCAACTGTTCAAAAAGAAGATATAGATCTGGGGTACAAATTCTGGCTAAATCATTGGACTCTGTCGGTATTTCATTTCAGACATTTGTCAAATTGTTGTATAACACCTGCAGGCAACATCAAAATATTCTAATAAACTGAAGACAACGTGGACGATGCCATGATTATACCAGCCATATTGGGCAAACATTTATTCCTCTATTTAATATTAAATAATTATGTTTCAATTCGAAATTACAGATATAAAGTGATAAACATTAGTGTAATTGTGTCTAAATATAGGATTTGTGGAAGATTTGACGCAGATAAGTTCAGTTTTACATCTTAAAAATCTAGACATACTTTTGATTATTATCAAAATATGCATGAAATAAGAAGCCCGTAGAAATTGTGTAACTACTTTGCACGATAATCACAATAAAATTTGCTGAGCAAGTAATTCAATAGCCCTATTTCACAGTGTAGAAGTTTATCATATACCTGTGTATGAAATTCACAATGGCCGATATGTAAGTAAACAAGATGACTGTATTGTGTTAGTTATATATTCTTCATTTCGTCTATACAGTACATAAGAAATAGTTTGCTTGCAATAAAGTAGAATCACGTAAGTTGTATAGTTGACAAAAACTGAATCTTGCACTGACGCAAATGTCCTATAGCAGAGTCTTACACTTTTGTTGTACAACTGTCACCTGCAGCCCTTATACAACCTCTTAAATGACTGAAGTGTCCTATTAGGTGTGCCTATTCCGCTTGTATAGCTGTTCTAAGAGGGGTTTTGCCAATGTTCTTACAGTATACAATTCTGTGTAAGGAATACTGTATAATCATTTTTGCAACTGTAATAAGAGTGATAATTGTTAATTGGGCGATATTACCTCTTCAAGGTTATTCCTTAGAATTTACCCGCCGAAGACGTCGAAAAAATTAACAGCATTTTTTTAACTACTTTAAAGTGATTTTATCATTATCTTTATTGTAAACAATAATTATACAGAATGTCCCAATATTCCGTGGACATAGAAGTATTACGTATTTTAGACTCAAAATTAGTCGATTGGACATGATTTAATCTCTATGCAAAAGTGCTTCGTTTGTCAGATAGACGGCGGTAAAGTTTTCTTATGAAATCATACTCTATAAGGTATTTCAAGCACCAATAGACTCATTTGAATGAAACCTGAATCACATATGTTTTGCTAGATGTTCTAAAGTTGAATTCTATGAAAAACGAAAAGGTTCGAGGTGGATAAAAACTACCCCCCACCCCTGCATAATTTATAGCAGAATGTTATTAAAATTGGATCAACAAAGTTTCTTTGGGATTCTCAGAGCAGCTGTGGTGCCCTGGCGTTTAGGCTGCTGCTACGCGGCTGCTTCGGTGTGAAAAAGGCGCAAATATATTTTATTTAACAGACTTTTTTATTTGCTACATTTTTTGTCTCTTATAAAAAAAGGCGATCTTGGATAGTTTTCCAGAAATACAAATGAGTTGCATTAAGTGTCTTATTAATTTATAGTGTAGTTAGAAAAAATACACAAATATGATATTACTTATTACAATTTTATTTGATACAGGCAATAGAGCGAATTTTTCATAAAAGATAACCACCATTTTTTCGTTCATGCACATAACAATACGGCGCAAAAACATAATATTTGTCTATATGAAAAAATCTTTTTGGAAACCAGCTCAGAAAATCATTTTTATTCTCGAAAGCTATGCAAGATGACCGGTTTTTATGGGAAACAAAAAATGAGGTAGATAAAAAGACCTTGATGAGCAAAAAAAATCAGAATTGTTGGCACAGCTGCAAAAAACTTCTGATAAATTTATGTGGGGGGTGTGAGCAGTTTTCTTCCTTATCGACTCTTACGGTTTTTTTGTAACAGTCAAGTATCAGGACGTCTAGCAAAATACATGTGTTCCAAATTTCATTAAATTTGGAGTATCGGTTCCCAAAATATCTGAAAAGATGTGTTTTAAAAAGGAAACTGACGGATAGAGTTATATCATTTTCAATCGGTTTATTTTGAGTTTTAAAATATGTGATACTTCTATGTCGACACCCTGCAGATAAAGCACTTAAAACCAATCTGTTAGATCTAACTGACAATGTTGTCAGAGCTTGGGGGTAACCTACTTCCTTAATTCTTTTATATTTTTCTAAAGCGTTTGACACCATCAACCATTCACTCCTAACAGCCAAATGTAAATTTTGTGGTTTCTCTGAATCATCAGTTACTCTAATGAACCGCTTTTTAAGGAATAGATCACAAGGAGTTGTCATTGATATGAACACTTCTCTTGAGGATTTAACTTCATCAGGAGTGCCTCAAGGTTCGCTTCTTGGGCCATTTCTTTTTATTTTATATCGCATATCTTCGATCTTGATAAGACTGTTAAACACTGTAATGTTCAGTTTTCTGCAGATGACACGCAATTATACAGTGATTTTAATACTGACAATATAAGGATTGCTGAGGTTCAAATTAATAAAGACTTGAGGTATATGATCAAGTATGCAAAAATTCATAATCTTAGATTAAATCCAGAAAAATCAAAAGTAATTATATTCTCTCCTAAACTATTTAGAAATCAAATTAAGAAATATTCGACTATATCAATAAATGGTGAAATTATAAAAGTATGCGAAACTGTAAAGAATCTAGGCGTATCTCTTGATGAATGTCTTAATTTTATTCCTCATGTGACCAATGTTACAAAAAGTTGTTTTTTAGTAATTCGGCAATTATACTTGAACAAACAAATTCTCGATTACAAGACTAAAGAGATTCTCTGTGAGTCATTAATTACGCCAAAAATTACATACTGCGACATTGTATGTAGATTGAGTATCTGTCAAGCGCTTACAAAAAATTCAAAACTCGTGTTGCAGATTAATCTGTAACTTAAAAAATATGACCATCTTGCCTCCTCCTTCCTAAAATTGGAACGGTTATCTATTCATAAACCATTTAAATTCCATTTAATATGTTATATTCATAAGCTTATACTTACTCCATTTCCCCCATTTTTCAAAGACAGGTTAAAATTTCGTGGTTATATGCACTCACCAGATATTCGCTTTATTGGCTTCATTTTTCACTAAATGTTTTACTTATAATGCTACTATCATGTATACAATGCTTGACCCTATGATGCTAAGGCTTTATGTTTCTGGAATTTTAAAAATTATTTAAGAAAAATAATTTTGGAGCAATCATTTACATACATGTATCTCTTACTTCTGCTCATAATATATGCCTCAACATCTTGTTTGTATAATGTTATACCATTACTCAATCTTCATTTACTCAATGAATCATTTTTATGTTAAAACTTTGCATTTTTAGTGGTTGGTATATATTGTTTCTTTTTTTTTTGTTGCTTACTTTATGGATGGACATTTTGCGGGATATGTGGTAGAATAGTTTATGCTAAGCTTTGCCCAGAAAGACGTTCTATTATTATTATCATTAGAGGAGAGGGTATAAATATGGGCTAGGCGGGGAATATGGGCTACGTTGATATTTCTGATGCACCTAGAGTCATCTATCGAGTAATGTATCAATTAGATGCTCTTTAGAGCACCTAACCGCCTGCTGATCACAGAATTCTTCTTTTCACATATGCAATTCAGTTTCGTGTGATTTGGTCTTTATCAGTGTTTATAAGTTTTGCAGTGGTGGTTATTTGTCGCTGTAACCAAGTAGGCTTTAGAATTTAACTGGATTTTTATAGCTTACAATTGAAAATAAGGTTCGTATTTTTAGATTTTGTTTTCAATTTTACCCAGATATAAGATATAAAATATTTGTGAAGTTTCAAACTTTTTGGAGGTTATGTGCAATATGGGCTGGTATTACGTTTGTAATATGGGCTAGCCCATATTTGTAACAGTAGTAGAAATCATGAACCTTGTTTTAGAATGCCACGCAGAAAAGCTATTGTTAGTCCCAAGTTGAGCGCCAAGAAACGGAAGACATGGGATGTAGACCATATGAAAAGGGCTGTTCAAGCGGTAAGAGAAAAAACTATGGGTACTCTAAAGGCAGCTAAAACTTATGGCGTTCCAAGAACTACAGTGCAGCGATTGGCCAAAATGGACCATCTTAGCGTGGAGGAGGCTGTTCAGATCAAATTAGGGCGAGGTACAGTTTTGACTCCAGAATTGGAAGAATCATTAGTTCGCTATATTCTTGAAATGGAAGCCAAGTTCTATGGTTTAACCCGCAAAGACGTTAAACGTATGGCATTTTACTTAGCAGAAAAAAACGGCATAAGGCATCCTTTTGGGAATACACAAACAGCAGGAAGGGGCTGGTTAGATCTATTTTTGCAAAGACACAAAATTTTGTCGGTTAGAAAACCTACTGGGACATCATTTGCACGTGCCAAAGGGTTCAACAAAGAGTGTGTGGACAACTTCTTTACACTTTTGGAGAAAGCATATGAAGACCACAATTTCCCAGCTAATCGCGTCTTTAATGTAGATGAGACTGGTCTAACTGTTGTGCAAAATAAAGTGGCTGAAGTGGTTGGTCGTAAGGGCAAAAAAAACAAATTGCATCTTTAACATCATTAGAAAGGGGGTCTTTAATCACTTTGATTACCTGCATGAATGCAGGGGGAGACTTCGTTCCACCGATGCTCATATTTCCTAGAAAAAATATGAATGTGCAATTAATGAAAGGCACTCCTCCAGGATCAATATCAGCAGTTCACCCAAGTGGATGGGTTCAGGCCTCATTATTCGCCCAGTGGTTCGAACATTTCATCAACACGGTAAAACCAACTGCATCTTCACCTGTTCTTCTAATTTTAGATGGACATTATAGTCATACCCGTAATTTAGAGGTTGTTATTATGGCGAGAGAAAATCATGTTTGCATAATCTCATTACCCCCTCATTCAACACATAAATTGCAACCTCTTGACAAAACTTTCATGGGTACATTAAAATCTTACTACAGCGAAGAGATTAGACAATGGATTCGTCATAATCATCGTCCCTTAACCCAATATGATATGGGCGAACTTTTGGGAAGGGCTTATCTCAAAAGTCAGACTGGAGAAATCGCCGTAAAAGGATTCCGCGTTACTGGAATAGAAAAAGGAACAGAACACTGTACCGCTGAAAATGACTTCGATCAGAGCACACTGGGCACATATCAATCAGATCTAGAGCCTCCTAGTCTAGACAACGTTCAACCCGGGCCAAGTGGTAAATTTCAATCTGATGTAGAGCTACTCAATCACGACAGCGTTCAGCCTGGACCATCTGGGATCAAAAAAAAATGGTGACTCCCTTCGATATTTCACCAGTTCCGATCTTAAAAAAAAAACAAGTAATAGGGGTAGGAAAGCATCACAAGCAGCAGTAATTACTTCGTCCCCTTACAAAGATGAATTATTGTTGAGCACTGCCAATAAAAATAAACAAAAGATTAAATCTATTAAAAAAAAGGTGTTTTCTCAATCAACCAAAAAGAGATCGTCCATATCTTCGAAGGAGAATAAAAAGCAGCAATCTTTAGGAGAATCTGAAAGTGATGACGATGAAACAGAGCTGATGTTAGCAGATGATGACTTAGATTTGGATGATCTGCCTGGACAAAAGGAACCAGATGATTTAGATGCGGAATGCATCTTTTGTGAAAGTAAATTTTCCGAAGACCGCAAAGGAGAACTATGGGTTCAATGTTTAATGTGCAATATGTGGTGTCATGTCGATTGTGCAGGTGCTGATAAAGATGCTTCTGTTTTTTCAAAATTTTGCTCTTGAATAAAGCTCTTAGTTACCATGTGTAGGTATTTTTTCTGGTAGCCCATATTTGTATCACTATCTCAATATCTTTTATGATGCCAATTTTATTTAAACATATAAAAAATCGAATAAGGTTTATGTAAAAAAAAATAAAAACTGACAGCATCATGTTAGATTAGGTTCAGCTTATCCGAGAAAAAAAAGTTGAGCCATATAGACCAAATATGTGTCAAATATGCCAATTAAATAAAATGGTAGCCCATATTTATACCCTCTCCTCTATTATTAAAAAATTTTCATTTTTTGATATCATCAGATCTGTAAGATATTAGGACAATTCTCTCCCAGGGTTGCTGTCTTATTTGAATACGATAGCTTGGGCTGCTTGTAGAAAATATCAGATCTCCTTGCAATTCCATGAATAAAAAGATAAGTGTAAAATTTTTCGGTTTCCACTTCAATCCCATGTGGCTGAAATCAATTTTTTGGAGTTCACACCAGGCATGTCTACTAAATACCACGAAGGACGAGCGCCCACTAAACAGGCAATGAGATACTATGCATTTAGTCGCGTCGTAAGCGCGTTCATTTTCTGATGCGCGCTTCCATGTGAGCTGCTTGTATTTTCAAGCAGGGCTGCTGCATGCGGGCGTGCAGAGCGTGCACCGCACTAGGGCGACATTGCTCAGCTCAGCTCATAGTGTAAATTTGGTCGTCAATGATGCAGCAAATATTTCGTCTGAAACTGAGAATTTATTCAGTATAGTTCAAGAAATTTACGTTTTCTTTTGATCATCTGCAAAAAGATGGTTGTTAATTTGCAAACATTTACTAGATTTCAAATTAAGTTCCACGCGATGGCCTGGAAAAATCGATGCAGACAAACCATTACGGTACCCGTCCACTAACAAGATTTGTCGTAGACGGAGATCAACCCAATTTCAATATGAACACATTGACGAAGTGTTACTAGACCCCAAGATTAAATACAAAGTAGGTTTTTTTTCAGAATCTTAGATCACACGCTAACCCCTCCAAGGGACAGATTAGAGGAGTTAAATACTTTTACTGAAGTATTTGGCTTTTTAAACAATAACTAATAGAATTACTGCAACGATGACTCAATTGTAAAAAGTTTAATCTAAAGCTTAAAGACGAATCTACTGGCGAAACTGACATTGACGGCACTGATTCATTCAATGAAAATAGAGCTTTGAACTTTCACTTTCCAGAAAATCGGTCTAATGACTCTCACGCTTTGTTACAATACGTTTTCACTAATGATTTAATTTCAACATTACCAAACACAGCAATAGCGCTACGAATGTTACTTACATTGCCAGTCACAGCTGCATCCGGTGAAAGGTCTTTTTAAAAGTTAAAGTTTGAAAAAACTTTTTGAGGCCAACAATGCACCAGCAAAGACTTTTGCAATAGTTTATATTGGACATTAAGTTTTAGACAACTTGGATACGAAAAACTTCATAGCAGATTTTTCAAACATAAAGGCAAGAAAAGTTCAATTTCTGTAAAAATAAATATGTACTTATGTCTAACGATAGTATTTTTTGTAAAGCATTTTTTATATTTTTTATATTTTCTCATGCCCTTATAATGCAACGGCTTTGGATTCAATTTGATACTCGGATACTCCAGTGATTTACCGACACAGAAAGTTCTCAGCGTAGAGTTGTAGATGGGGCGGCTAAATCGGCATTGCACGCGGGCGTTCAAACAAATAGCGGGGATCCTGTTTTCAAGGCTAGCGTCAGGCGAACACGCGTCGGATATGCGTCATCTGAACTTAGCCTTAGTTGCATGGAAGTTTTTTCTCTGAAGACGCCGTTCGACCGAATCTCTCGCTGGCTCACTAGCATTCAAGGTAACGGAGTCGGAAATAAAATTTCTCTTCAACCGCAGGCCATCTATACGTAAGCCGAGCTACATACAACATGCCCTGCAGCAACGCGGACTGTACGTGGACCCTTCTCTGTTTCCATGCCCAACGAATCAGTACGACAGAAATTATGGATTTACCAAGTTTCTTGTTAGATATTTCAAAAACCAGTTATATAGTATTCGCTTCTAGTTTCAAACTAACTTTGAGATGCTGCTGAAGTTGTAACATGTACTTGTATGGTAAATTTGGTTCAACATATTGATTTCCTTTTTCCTTTATGAAGTGATATGATATAAAAAAAGATTAACAAGATTTTGTGGTAATCTATTAATACCCCTTAAGTTTGTGAACTTTACCCTCAAGGTCGTTTCAACTACTATTTGTGTGGAAACCTCTTTTTGGCAACATCAATGACAAATTTCACGATGCAATAAGTTATCGTCTACTGTTATGACCATAAAAGTCAAGGTCACGGTTGTACTTATTATCCTTGTTAAAAGTTTCTGATGGTGGTTGATTTTTCCATCAATAGTCCTAATTAGCTCCTAGAAATTTTTCCTAGCATTTGACCCTCACTCCACTTGTAGAGGTGACCTATTCGGAGGTGAAATCTTCTGTTATTCAGAGTGCCGGGGTGAAAATGAGGACCTTTAAGGTCAGGCTCAAGGTTGACATTGAACTCCTTGTTCGAAATTATTAAAGCTCTGATCTTTACCTTTTCCAAAAATACCTTGTCTGGAGAAATGCAAATTCAATCCGTTACTTTTGTTACATCCCGTATCCCCTCTCATTGTCCTCATTACCTGCATATCCTAGCACTCAATTCAAAGATATCTACTTAAACTTAGATTCAGTAGGTAGAATAAGATCACTCTTAAAACCTGTCTTAGCAACCAATGTCGCTTGTGTCAAAAGGCGTGATCGAGTTACATTACACAAAAAAAGAAGATTAGAGCTCTGAATAACAAAAACTCAAAAGTGATACCCTTTCCACAACGCTGTCATCAGTTCATAAAGGACTGTGTTCCGCACACTTTAGGCGTTCTGAGGAAAAAATATAGCTACGCACATGTGAGACAGAAAAATTGAATGGATCCAGTCAGTTATACAGGCCCATACAATTATACGTCGACGACATCCTTTCCCTGCCCTAGCGATAAAACCGTTCAACTGGCAATGTCGTCTCTTAGTCCATACCCCACCGCACGAGGCATCAGACTCGGCAGCGCTGCACCGCGGCAGTAATGACAGGACACTCGTCGAGACCGGTGGATCCAGGGAGCAGAAACAGATACGCGTATTGTAAACATTTTTCTACTATTCCAAGTCTTAACACGTTGAGCACGGTGTGGCATCAAACTAATGCCTCACCGACTAGTTAGTCTAAGAACGGTGAGACATGACAATAACGTCTCATATCGAATATTAAATAAGACGGTGTGGTTCAGTGTAGTGTCTCGCTATAATGCTAAATAAATGGGAAACAAAAGTTAGCCGTCTATACGCACGTTTTTTGTTACCCGGCTGTGAATATTTGACTAAAATCCTATGTTATACGTTAGATAGCATACAATTTTATTTCAATCTAGAAATATTGTTCCAGTAAATATAAGAAAATGAAATGCAAACATGTAAAAGAAACTTATATTCTAAAGCTAAGAAGTGCAAATCAACTTATATAATGATGTTTAAAAAATATTATAATAATATTTAAAAAGTTAGTCCAATTTCTCAGCATGATGGGTTTCAAAAAAACACGGGATACAATAACTCTTGTTACACTGAAATTTAGTCCTCGGTGTTTTGCTTTGTGCTTCTTTTCAACCAAATTCCTACTTAGCTTTGACATAACATGTTACACATCGATTTTTCGCATGCTCTTGAAGCTCGTGTTTTATATTTCTTTGATTTGGTTTATCAGGTTTATTATTTGCACCCAGAAGTGATAATGCTAAAAGCTCCCTGAATTACGTAATTTGAATTTTATTTTGTGTTACTTCTTTATAACATATAAATGCATTGACTAATGTGGAATCAAAAATTAATTCAATTGCTAGTTTTCGGTACCATTTGTTGCCCCTTCTAAGGCAATGTGAATAAGTTTTTCAGCTGATCTGACAGGTTAATATAAGCTCTCCATTTATTGTAATCAACTATAGCTTGTGGTTTTTCAATTTCTTTTCCACGTTGATGAACTTTGATTATTTCATGAGTGTGTACTGTGGTCAATGTCAATAGTAACACGAGTATCTTTTCATTTCAGCATTACAATGCCGGTACCGCTCTCCTGACCAACTACTTCATGTTTTTTCAATTTTTTATTCGATACTCCTTTTGGGTTTCATTTTCTATTTGACCGCACTGTTCCTACGAGATGCGTTTTTCTTTGCAGCAATTGAACAGCCAATGAAACACTGTAAAGTATGCGTCCAGTGTCTAAGAACCCACTCATCAGTAACGTAATCATACAAGGTTAGACCTGCACAACGTGGAATCACGTATATGTCTCACCGTCCATATGAACTGATTTAAAGGTAAAGACGGCGAGATATAATTGTGATGTCACGTATATTTTTTTGAAAATATCAAAGAATGCCATATTTGCAAATAAAACAATGTATCCTATACATTAGAGACTTTATTTGACTGAAAGAAACACAAAAAACTACCCGTCTCTGAGACACAATTTTATGCACTCTACATCCGTACTCAACGTGTTAAGGGCAAACCTACAAGAAAACCTATGATGTGTGGAATAAGAAATAGGTACGTAGAATTATCGGGGCTTTAAGCGTGTTGCATTGAAAAACTGCAATATACCCTCACACCCTCCACAATCATTTTTCTGAAAACGATCAGGAGCATTTTTTCAATTTTGTGTGTAGTACCGCTGCGCTACCACTAGATCTATTTTCAAAAGCTACAATGCTTGTTCGTCCTTGATACAGTCCTAATCCTGCGTCAAAATTTTACTAAAATCTGGCATGTGCTTTCCAAATTATAGCAGTGCCAAGGATCAGCGAACAGACACACCGACAAACCGACGGGCATGTCCAATATTATCCAAAAACGTATCTCATTTCAAACATCTTTTCCGATTAACCGTAATCGAGAAAGT